AGTTACTGAGTTGCTGCCATGTTCTCGGAGCTGTAGATCACTTACAATGCTGTAAACTCTATCCCCTAACAAAGGGCAGTGTAGGGCTCATGCTACAAATCAATTTTTGACTTCAGCTAAAGCTCAGAACAACACTTTAGCTGCTCAGCTGCAAGGTTATGAAGAAATGAATTATTTGAAGTGGACTTGAAAAGTATGAAGCATGATAAAATATATAACCCTAAGTAATCTGTCACTGAACGAAATAAACTGACAAAGAAAGGTTCTAGTGAAGTACAAGGGGTATAAAGAAAACAAAAATAGCAAGGAAAGCACTACACCTTGTGATTCATTAAGGCCATGGTGGAGGGCAACAGTGGACAGTAGTACCAATCCAGTCTTGTATTGCAAAACAAAACCTAAGGACAAGAGGCCTGTTATACCGCTGCCATCCCTAAACTGTTTGCTTAACATTTTTGCCTACATTTTGAACCACTAATTGTGAACTGAGTAGGAAAAAAAAAAAGGCCTTTGAGTCCAGAGCTACAGACAACAGTGAATAACTTTTTGCTGTTTACCCTTAAAAATCCATGACAAAATCTTTAGGAGGACAAGTCAAACTATATTGAGCCATAAAGCTCAATCATATAATAAAAATGTAGTGAACATATAGTATTCTCTCAACATGCTAAGAAACCACAATTATAACCAGATGTGTGAGTGAATGTTGTTTATACAGCTGTAGAAAATCAGGAATGCAAGACAGTGACATCATCAATAAAAATGTCTTAATTAAATGCAAGCTGCTAAAACACAGCAGTGTTTTACTTCCCAGAGTAACATTTCCTTCATAAAAATTTGGAAGCATATTGCCCAATATTAAGTGGTAAGTTGACAGAAACAGTATGTAAGAAACTGGGTCACCCAGTATACACTAAGTGTAGCAATGCTTCATTTTTCCACAATGTCAAAATGAGAGTGAGGCTGTCTTTTTTTTCTAGAAAAAAGTTGCATGATCTCCTGCTCACACTTGTAAGTCATGTAAGATTTCAGACTATCAGATCTTTTATTTGAAATGTAGTAAGAGACTATTTACCCTGTAATCAGTCTGTGGAAGAGGCAAAAGCAAAGTAACACGAGAGAATAGTAAATCAAATACTTCTCTTGTTCATTTCATTTTTAAGGTCATGTTAACCTTAGAACATCTACAGGACAGTCTTATCAAAAGGACATGAACACCCCTGGGTATCAATTTATGTATACCCAATTCTCTGTTCCTGTATAACATAAAAATCAGCCTTCAGTGAGACGAATAGAGCAATCTACACTTCTGTTCAAAAAGTAGGGAATGGGCAGGGAGTTAGGTATTTAACAAGGAAGCAGAGTGGGAACAGTCAATCGAAATAGCAGAAAACTCAAAATGGTATTAGCGCTCAAAGTTTTCATAAACAAATAGTTCCACAAAATTATTTCTGCAAAAATTTCCATTTTCTCTAATCAACAGAATCACATCTAGCTAGAAACCCTAGACAGAGCTACAGTACCCTGAACCTTAAATATTTATACTAGTTAAAACTTACAGAAGTGAAAATACTCTTTAGGATGATCTGAAATTGGAGGAGGGTTTCAAAGGGGTATAAGTGCAATTATAAAACAGACATTCTCTGCTACCTAATAAAATTTTTTATTGTGCTTGTGAACAACAAGCCCTATGTTCATCACTTCTCATTTCTGATCATGTAAACCCAATAGCTAGAGTGTAAGTGAAAGTCTGAAAAAGTCTTGTTTTCACAGTTCTCTCTTTTTGATAATGGCAGCTTCAATGCAAGTGACCCCCAAACTTCTCCATTGCAAATTTCAAATGACTTCATCAAAAGGACCTGGGAGTTTTAGGAACAACCCTGTGAAAGACTTAGTCTTCAAGAAAAAGGAATGACACTGGATAAATATTTATCCATCTCAGGCATAAACTCAGTAATGTTTGTGAGAATACAGATGAAAATAGCAGAGGTTTGGTATGAGTAGTTACAGAATTCCTCCTCTTCAAGTTTTCAAAAACAACAGACAATACAAGATTTTGATTCTTAAATTTATTTTTAGCAGGATGTGTGTACTAATGGACGGTGACATCACTAGAAGATAGGTCCATGTCCACCACCTGCAACAGAAGCTAGAAAGACGTTAAAGAAAACAATTCAAGAGTTAAAGATGACACTACTTACCCTGAACAGACTTAGGAAAGTCACCTACTAAGCAGTACTGTTAGCTTTTGATGCAGATATGGTATTATTTGTTACCAAAACCTCCTTTCAAAATTTAATGCATACATTACCTTGATTTTGATTGGAATCATGTGCTTCAGTTTCAGAAATAACAATTAGAGAAACTCATTCTTAAAAAACTACTCACGGAAAGATTGGTTATTCAAAATTACTTACCTGTAAATTGTCTTTAGAAGATAAAAAATCTGCAAATTTAGGTCTAAAGTTCCCATCTGAAGTTGAAAGCTAACGAGAATTCTATCACTGTTAAACCAAATCAACAGCAAGTAACATTTCTGGATTCATCCACTTGTTTCTTGCCATACCTGGGTGTTTTACAAATCAGTAAGCTAGGATCTCAGCATTATACTCACAGATTGGTGATACTAATTCAGGAAGAAACAAAGACTTGATATGTTATCACCCAGAGACCATGTTATACTAAGAAAAATGTCAATATCCAGAAGTAACAAAAGAAACAATCTTGTCTAGAAAAAATCAATTTCACCAGAAATCAAACTTGAGCTGCAAAACCTAGGAACACAGTTCAGGAAAATAGATTCTCAAAGAATTAAGTGATAGGCCCCTTTCCCAGTGCTATTTTAAGTGTGAAGCCAAGAAGCAAGGCTCAATTTGAGGTATGGAATTTCCCAAGACGGTAAAAGACAGAGTCCTTGCTTCATCTCCATTTCTTAGTAACTAAAAACAAAACACATGAGCTAAGTCAGAAGACTCTGCAGACAGTATCATGAAAACATCCTAATCTTACATTTCAAAACTTCAGAATGTTTATCAGCCTCCATTTCTCAAACCAAAAAGCACTACCGGTAGTGAGCATGAGATCACTTCATTTATCTTAACAGTAGCTTAGAAACTTCATTGTAAGGTTGTTGTTCTTTACAATCTCTTGGTTCATCTGCCTTTATTAGTAACCTTGGTTGACATCGTCTCAGCTCATAGTTCTTTATTAGTACCTCACATGTATACCCCACTGATCAGCCTAAAAACATTCTTACGGTATACTTTAACATCCTAGGACTTCATCTGTTTAAAACAAACTGCTACAGTTCCTGAAGACTGTCTCCTACTCTTTAAAGAAAGGCCTCAAACTAGTCCAGAAAAGGAACTGTGCTGTATTAGAATGAAATCCTTTAGCAGTATAAATAATTCAGCCAAGAAACCTGGTTTTAAGGATGATGACAGCCCAGTAATATGCAATTGCTTTCTCTTAAAATTAGGAATTCTCTCATCTAGTAATACTGAGAAATTAAACTGGTTTATATTTGTTGATAACAACCAACAAGGGTGGAATCTGTTCACAGCTGCACTACCATTTGTGATTTCTTTTTAATTGAGCTCTCTTGTTTTCACAGAATTATAAATCTGTCTGAAAGACCAAGTTACTGCCTTTTGAGCAACTCACTATCCCAGTGGTCTACTATGTCTAAACAGGGAATAATTGCTGGTAGTGAGCTACAGAAACAAGTCAGTGTCCCTAGACAACCAGTCCTTCACCGAAACTGTTTGGGAATTTGTTCTCCAAACCCATTACACACAGTCAGAGGGAAGGTAGGGCATGTGATGAAAAGCTTAAGGCTTCCTGTTCTTTAATCTTCCAGGTTCCATTATCCAGTTGGGTCAGTTGCTATTGCAATCAGAACTACTGTGATACCACCTATCTTACATGAAGTTGGTTGATATTCCTCCCACAGGATAAACACAGTAAAGTTGACAGGAAGAACCTTCATCAATTGCTTTTCTGTGAGGCATAGAGGAAAGTAAGTCAGGAAATCAGAGTAGAGTGGGAATGATACAACTAATCTGAATGATGACTTGAAACACATTGTGAACAGCATTTTCCCGAACAAAGGCACCACAAAATCTAAACTCAAGTTATAAAAAAGCAAAAAAAAAATAAATTAAGAAATTAAGAAAAGAAAACGTTACTGACAGGCCTGTATGATGAAACCTCAAGAGAAATTAATTTGGGCACCATATATGCATATGCTACAGTTACAGGGCACTGCAATTGTTCAGATATCTCCTCTTGAAAAATGATGCAGCTTCAGTTCTATTACTGTAATACCCAAGTTAGCTCTGGGAAGCAACTGACAGAAAATTATGATATATTCTAAATATGTGGGATGTTCAACAGGAGGCTTTACAGTATAATATGGTAGGAAAGGAAAACAGATGACTGGGAATAGCAAAGAATAGAATAACTTAAGGGATCATTTGCTCATAATGAGCTGCTGACTCTGCATCCTTCTTTTATTATAATCTGTCTGGTTCTAATGGTGCTAGTGCTGCTAAGCAGCCATATTAGAGGCTGTAGATGCTAAAACTACATTTTACTGGGTTTAATGGATGCTTGAGTCTAGTTAAAAAGTTGTGCTGAAAACAGTGATTAAATTTTTTTCCTTTAGCAAATACGTAACTAAGACTTACAACAAGAAATGAAAGGAGCATTAAAAAATTACTCTGTGAGGAATTACATTTGTAACACTCAGGGTAAAGCTTTTTATCTGCACTACTAAAACTAAGTCTGTACATATAACAAAGACTGAATAGCTAAAAAACCAAAGAGCTGGTTTAACAGGTTCAGAACACTAGAATCAAACAAAATGTTAATAATGTGCTGGAAGCAAAGACGTAACAGTGGCAATTAAATATTTGTCTTTGGAGATAACAGTTTTTTAGGTTAACTAAAAACATTTGCAAGAACAAGCTTTAGTGAAGAATGGACAAAACATTACGCACTTCCAGCTTATGTTCTTTCTCTGCAAGGAATTCTTTTTGACATCGGAGAAAGTCTGATAACATTCGAGTCAGCTGTTTTCTATCATCTATTTCAGCTGCCAACCTGCCATTGTAATCCGCCAGCAACATACATGCATCATCTACCATTTTGGAAAGTTGCTCTCCAGATTCCTTATCTAAAAAGCAAGCAGAGAAAAACAAGTAAAGCGTGATTTCATCACACACCGTTAAGTTCTCAGAACAGCATTTCAGTCACTGGGTCCCCAACCCTCACCTGTTATTCTGTCTAACAGGGACACATCTTGGACCTCTATAGGCAGAGAGGCTATTCTCTGATGAACTGCTGCATCCCCAGAGGCAGCGTTTTCTAGTTCTTGTAATGCTCTAATGAGATCTGTGGTCTGAAAAAAGCATGCAAGATGGAGAACTACTTTAAGTAAACAGATCCTAGAACAAAACAGTATCTTACAATAAGCTTTTGGAATTGATTTGATGGCAATTTCAACAGCATTTACAGCATCAGCTTTTAGACTGAAAACGAAACCAAACCTTTCATTCTCAGGACAACATTGCAGTATTCGCAGTTTTAAAAGTCACCTTCCACCAGCGGATTTTTTTAATTTAAATTCTAAGTATATAAAGATTATTTATATACCTTTTATTCTTGTGAATATTTTACAATACCTTTCATTTTACTATAGATTTTTGACATTATTTTTCTTGTCATTTTGCTTCACTATAGCATCAGACTAGATCAGTGTGCTTCTTTTGAAAGTAGAGCTCATGTTCATAGAAACCCAGATGTCTGTTACAGAGAAACATACTAAATTGTGATTATTTGAGGACAGTCATTCCTGGCCATAACAAAATGAGATACAGCAACACCATAACAAAAACCCCACAAGAATTAGAAAAGCTATAACAATGCAAGGTAGACAATTTTTCCCTACCATCATGATTGCAATACTGAGGAATATCTTATTGATAAATCCGTAACAATCTTACTCTAATACATGGGTTACTGATTACTACCCTGGAAACTGAATAAGAATGTAAAACACTGTAGAAACTAATCCTGAAATCCTGATGTGAGCAAAGCTGGACATACAGTTCTTACATTCAGATTTAGTCTCAAACGACTAAAGTTATCACATACTTGTAACCTGAAATACTGTGAAAAGTTTCAGGTGTAGCCACTCTTGCACAGAAACAGTACCTCATAAAAAAGAAAAACAGAGACCATCCAAAAACAGAAGTGACTGAAAAACTCTGTATGAAACTATATGTAAACACAGAACTTTATAAACACCTTATTACCTGAGGGGGGTCAGTGGGAGAACTTCGAGGTGAACAGTTATTTTCATCAACTTTTATCTGCTCATATGTGCGTTTCCTCACCTTTCTGTCTCCATCTAAATGAAAGCAAACAGAGCAGTCAGGGAAATAGTATTTCAAACAAGAGACTGAACCTTGATACACACATAAAATACTTACACAAAGCTTGCCTAAGTTGTTCTAATACATCATTTTCATAAACAGACCTTTCTTCCCAGATAGACAGCACTCGGCCGAGGTGTTTCTTACAACTCTCATCAGACTCACTGTTACAGGAGAAAAAAGCAAGTATCAGCACTAGGTAGAAGTACAGTGTTTCTATATGCTTATTTTTCACAGAAAAACCTTTGCATACCTTAGCAATATCCAAGCACCAGAAGTCAATCTCAGAAAATAACAAAATCACATTTTAAAGAAAAAAAAGCAAATGCTAGTTCATGGTGTCTTAGCAAGCACACAAATACAAAAGGGCCAATGCCCAACTCGCTTTCTTCTGTTTTCTTGCTCAACGCAGAAATCTGTAGGTCTGTAACCCTATTATGCAAACACTGCAAATAGGTTTGTGTTGCTTCAACAGCTCTGTATCCTTGTGAAAATAATCCCGTATCAAGTCTCTACCTTCCTCATGCAATGAGATTAATGGCTGCCGGGGAAAAACAAATCCTGCAACACCAGTAATGAATAATATCAAACTGTTCCAGCACATAAACACAGACTGAAAGCAAGTCTTAGTTTCAGGAGTAGCTAACAGCTTTCCAAAGCAAAATGGACGGAATGCTGATGAATTTACTATGAAACTTCATCCAACAGCATTAAGACTCTCCAAGATCAAAAGAACACTGAATAAATAAATTAGCAAGACCTCAAGTACAGAAACAGCACACAAAGACTAGCTGAGCCAGAAGAGATCAACTGAGGACTTCTCAACTCCCCTCAAATACAGTATGAAGAAGGACACTGGACATACAAGTTTACTGTACCTTGAAACATGCTTAAAAGCCTCCACTATTACTGGAGCAAAGTCTTTTGTAAATTCTGGTCCTTTCCTTTTGCTGTTCTGTATGACATCATTGGCCAAGTACAGGAATGTCAGCTTCCTATTTGGTTTTGCTAATAAAAAGAATAATAAAGAGTAATTAGAAATTTTATTTCCTTTAACTAATACCTCTTTATCCACATTTATACTGAATACAAACATCCACCTCCGGACCTTCCCCACTCTGAAATAAAATATATTTTTTCTGTTTTCATTACTGCTTACAACAATTTCACATTTTCAACATTTTCATGTGAAAAGACTCCAGTCACCCATTGGGTTTTCTCTCCCTTCTGCTCTCTTTGTTCAAATTCCTTTTCATAGTAGGAAAACTTCCCTTTAGCATCATCTTTGAAAACAAACAGAAAAAACCCCAATATTCCAAAGTGTCCTTCAGACCTCAACTATTTTCAGATGTTTTCCTGAGTCTTATGTGATTTGTCTGTTAGGTAGCCCTCATGGATTTATTTCTTCAGCTTTCCTTTGAGCCTGCATACAGGCTCTTATACTCATGAAGTCCTCTCTCAAGGCACTTCACAGATCCACAGTCATTCACTCCTGTGAAGAACCTCCTCCTTTTCAGTCTGAATTTCATCAGTCTTACATACCCACTTCTCATTCTTGCATTTGAGCAAACTGAACAGTCAACCCCCAGTTAGTCTCATTGTTATCACTGTGATACTTCCCTCCCTCATCTCCTAATTGTTAAAACACTCACATGCTGGCAGCCATACTATCAAGAAAACATTCAAAAACCACTTTCAGGCTCCTCGGTGTAACCCTTCTCCAAGCATCTTAAGCATTCTACCTCACCTCCATTAATGTGCAATAGATTACAAGCTTGCAATTTACAAGTTGCTTTTGAAAATCTATTCTATGTTTTTTAAGTGTTCCTACCTGGGTATTTTCATTTACAATCATACTTCAACTAATCTTCAGCAGTCTACAAGTTTCTTGGAGCCGAAACTCTTATTGTAACACTTCTATCCTTGGGTAACACCAGAATATCATTACCACCACATTATCACCAGTCTCATTATGTACACCTTGATTTTAAAAGGAGGTTTCTTTCGAAAGACGAGTTTCTATGGCCCTCTCAAGGGCTTTACTGTAGTAAAGTCAGTCTAGGATTTCCTATAATTCATGCTTAGTCCACAATATGATTTGATTTTGTTAATTTCTATTCCAACCTCTCAAAAATGCAGAACCACCACCTTCACATACAAAGAGAAAAATTCAGTGTTGATATGCTTTCACTCTGGGGAAATGTTTTTGAGAATAAATTTTGCACTACAGAAAGACTCTTCTGAAGGATTTCTTCTTGAAGTACTGAATTTTTCCCATCCTCTTGGACAGACATGTCTAACAAGTTGAGAGTTCTGGATTAAGTGGGGGGAAAAAAACCCTCTGTTAAATGTAAAAATGTACCTACCTTTTACAGTCAAGGCAAACTAAAGAGTGGTAAAAAAAGAATTAGCTTAGAAGTGCTAGACACAAGGTGGATCTATTAAGAGTCTACTCTAAACAGTGAAGTCACTACAGGAAATAAATCTACTTGGGACAAAATCTGGCTAATCTAAAATGTAGATTTTATAAAACTGAGCTACTCAATTTCTATATTAAAACCTGACTGATGATACAACAACACATCTCCTATCTAAGTTTCAGGTAAATCAAAGTTCTGACGCATAGAAAGCTTTGAATTATTTAAAGAGAGAATCTTAGAAAACACATATTGTCTCACAGGCATACCAAAAAGTAACTAGCACTTTACCGAAGATGACTCCGCACCCCTCCCCACTTCTTAAGTGAACCCAGAATTATGACTCAAAATATAATGAGGCAGGCCACTTCACATACTATATCCTCTGGAACTGCACACAAGATAGGTCCTTGTCCATCCATTTTACAGAAAAAAGTCATGTTTTAATCCTCAGTGATGTAACTCCTTTGTGAAAAACCTCAGCTTTCCTCTTTCCAACAAACAGCCAAATCAACTGGGCTGGCAAAGAGAGGAGATGCATGCACACTAATAAAGTCAGGTAGGGCTTATTCTCACAAAACCTAGACTTTATTCACTCCAGTAAAGAGATCCATGTATCAGGTTTGGAAAAAGCAAGTGAAAACGCAGAAAGTCACTTTTGGGCTTATTTCACCCAGTACTACCTTTTCAGCTTGCTATTATAATTCAACATAAACACAGATGCATATAAGGAACAAAAATCCAAACCCACTATTAAGCTACCTGTGGTTTCAGTTAAAAGTTCAACCAATACTGTACCCTAATGTTTACAAAGAAAATTGCAAAATAAAATTGAATTCCTCTTCCTGTAAGAATGTGGTGCACAAAATTCCAATGCTGAAAATTATGCCTAGTCTTGAGAATGGTTCCCTTTCATTTCAGAAATCTTCCAGAGTTACATACTGATCTACTAGCACCCTGCCTTACCCATGAGACTAAAGTGCAATGTAACTTCTGGCAACTGAAGCTGACAAATTTAAGCTGAAAAGCATTCTACTATGACTGTAAATTAACTACTCAAGTCTGAAATACAAAACTGAATTCAGGACCATATAGATCTATTCTGGAAAAAAAAAATGTTAAAAGCATCTCTCATCACTAGTAGTGAACTTTCCAGCCCAGGGCTTTGATAAATCTCAGAACAACAAAATGCATCAAACAGATTATTTTAAGTGTCCTCAACACGTGGCAAGGCTATTAGCAAAAGCATTCTTACTGTGAGAAGAACATGAAGGGAAAAAAAACATAAGAACTTAGGTTGAAGAAGGATCTGAAAGGCACATACT